TTTTGAGAGGGGATTTGGAATTTGGGCCAATTTGGCGGTCGTCTGAACTCGAAGATTGCGTGAGGTTGCCAGTACTTCATCATGACTGCGGTATCACAGCGGTTTTTGCCGCCGGTTTTTTAGTTTTGATCAAAGGATCCACCGTTCGATCTTCGGCAGATAGGGAATTCACAAGAGGCGAAGCCGAAATTCCATACAAATTGCAACATTGGGCTCTTGCAAGGAAGCGGTGATCCTTTCGCTCACGCTGGCAGTGGCATATTTTGCTACGTGTCAGATGTTTTTGTGGAGTTAAAAGCTGCATGTATGAATCATATCATGTGGCGTCTTCTACAGTTGTTCAAAGTTGCCCTTGTTATTTGAGAGCGGTACTTAAAATTGTTTGAAACTGCCATGAAGTGGTATTTTTAAGATAATTAGTTAGAGATTTACTGTATACTGGTTGACTAGCTTTTGACGAACTGTTGGTAATGAGTAAGCAGGTGACATCTTAACTAACGTTGAGCAAAACACGAATCGAGATCGCCTCCGTATTAATGGGGTGAATAGGAGTTGTGGGTAGGCCCTAACCTTTTTCTCGCATTTCAGCATAATCGGTTTTTGTGTTAGAACTTCATATATAACGGTCTGTCCCACGAATAGTAATTTTTTTTAAAGTGCTTGTTATGAATATGCAATTCTGATGAACTGAACTAGAATCTGATGGTCCTGGCCCAAACAGCATGTATCAACACAGATTCCGTAAAGAATGTTGACGATGAAGTGACAAAACGGACGTTGGTTAGGAATGCGAGATGGAAAGTGCCTTCATTCTCGAATCGTTGAGAGTCACACAGGGAGTCGGTGAGGGAAATCCTCCTATTTTCACTCAAGTAAATTTCATTGCACCAAATTACCTCAACAGAGGTAAGTATTTTCTTCATGTGAAATACTCCACAGAGATAAAGCATCGGACTCTGGTTCCATTGTACTTAAATCAGATGACCTAGGCCTACATGTTTCTGCCGCAACTAGGTTTACGGTTCCAACTCAACTTTCGGTGAAACTTTCGTTTTTATTATGTCCACTACAAAAGCCTGCTGGCGGCGGTATACTATCTGAACTTGGTCACTGTATAAAATTGACCGACCAGAACACTGTATGATTACATCGCCCTGTTATAAATTAATGACTAAATCCTTTGATCAATGGAGATAGAAATGCAGTAAAACAAAGACTTAGGTTAAATCCCTATGGAAGTTTCACCTTTCATTTCATTGAAATATGTTCCTTGAATAGGGTCAACCGATGAGGTAAGTATAGTACCGTATCTCAGATCCCAAGAAATTCTGAGAAAGGTTTATCATAGGCTTGTATCAATAGGCCAACTGGCTTGGAATTTCGTTGACCATTATGTAGCTTGACTGAACGCAGAGGTATATCCTGTTTACCCGTGTCCTAAGAGACATGCGTTATGGAAAGTTTTATGATGCCGACATAGGCTCGGGCAATTTCAATTTCTTTGGCGATGCTATTTTATTGTGCTCTCAACAGTTGTCATGGGAACAAAAAATGAACAGAGCCCACGCTCGACATGAACACTTTACGTACAGGTTGATGATATCCAACGTCGTTATCATGCGTGGTTGGGCCTCAAGCGCAACTTTACAACATAAAAAACTTTGGAATTTTTCCCACCGACCTCAGTGAAAACATGATCTCATCACAAGAAGTTCAACTTCAGCCACTTCGATCTTAAGTATCCTGTATTGAGTGCCTTTTTTCCCTTAGCAACGAAAATGGAGCATAAAGTGACAGGCCTGGCAAGGGGCCAGCCAGACCAAGTCAGCGGTGTTCCCCCAGAATGCCCAAGCCATGAGTCATCGGGTCTCCAGTTCCCTAGTACCCTGGATGAACCCTGCTGAGAGAAGGGGTTGGTCACCCGGTCGGCCCCAAGGTTTCATTTTCTTCATGAGGTTGTGACAAGTGATAGATTTATACCTCATTTACAAGGATGGGACGTCTTACGTTGTAAAAAAGGCTAATACATCAGCTGGTGCATCTACAAAGAGGCAGTGTGTATTTGCGTCTTCGTTCCATATGGCGGAAAGTTATCAAACTTCTCAAGTAACAACACGTGTAGAACAATAGCCCTGTGTTAGGTCTGAAATGTTAAGCTGCCGACAACAAAAAATCCATTCTTTACAAGAATGTCGTCGTAGCCAAGTAACGCCATTTTCTGTATGGCCTTTTGAGCTTTTAAAATACGTACAACTGTATCGTAATTCAATTGATTTACAAATTGACGGTTTTCGTAAACTTATAGTTTTCGGTGTACATGCCTGTTATGTTTACTGCCACAGCAGCTGCGATGTTAATTGAAGAGATATGCTTAATTTGCAATTATATAGTTGAAATAATGACTGCCTGAGGTGCCTGAAATGGCACAAGAAGACACCATGAGACCATAGCTATTTGGGGTGGGAAAATGCTTTAAACAATCAAGCAAAATTATTGAAACGGGCGTTTCTTCAATTAGCCTAAAGAGGGGGAGACATGTTTCCTAGCTTGGCTTCTCCGAAACAAAACGAAAAGTTGATGGACCAAGTCGAATGGAGGTACACATGTGCCTACACTGTGTTTGAACTTTCACATTCGAATGTTGGAAAATAACCGAGAGTGGAACTGTAAATGGAACAGCCAGGTTTCAGACATCTTGAGGGAAACCAGCAATGAAGTCGTGTCAGCTGTTGCAACGCGATTGATAGAATTCAATCAAATCTTAATCAGGCTCGTCGATGACTCAGCTTTCCGGGACATTATTCCAACATTCCCACAAGGCTGCTACTGCAAAACCGATCCCAAATCGACGTGCATTGTGCTCTGTGCCTGAAAATACCTTTGCTGTCACATTCCCAGTCAATCTTCATGACTAAAAGGCCAGAAGCCTTAAAACTACTTTGTAGTCTTATCAATCATTTTCCCGAAAAGAAGAAAAAAATCACAGAGAGAGGACAAAATATTCTGAGTAAATTCAGCTAGGTCTCAAGCAGCATATTTCGTTACCTTGAGATAGAAGATATTTATCTTTTCGAGCGCCTTTTTTTTCCCGAAAGAAACGTAAAATCCTTGTCCTCTAATCTGTCCTTTCATTATAATATTTCTCTTTATATTTATAATTGTTTCTCCCCCTCCTCGGGTCATGTTTTTGCAGAATTTTACTGACTATTTGTAGCGCGTACAAGCAAGACTTGATGCGGCTTTTGACTTTCGGGAATTAACTTGGAAGATATTTCTTAGTCTCTTATTCAAGTCTGAATTAGTCCGTGAAATTTATTTTCCATGTTTCTTTGACATTTATGTCCAAATGTTTATTAGCATTAACTTTGTGTTGTCTCTCTTTACTTTTTTTCGGTCAATTGAGTTTGATTTTTCAGTTTCCCCTTGCTTGGTGTTATCACCCAAACACCACAGGACTAAATAAGGAAAGCCAGCAATCCAACACATTATGTTGTATTCTTTCCATTAACTTTCAATAATAAGTCCTAGTCATAATAGAGGTGCTGTCTAGACGAGGTGTCACGCAACAGGCGTTTTATCAGGTGGAAAAACAAACCAGTGCATTCATCGCCGAGGGGAGGATAGCGATAAGATGTCTGAAATGGAAGGCAGTGAGGAGGATGTTTACGCATCTTACTGTCTTTTTTGCTTTCGTTGATGAAGGTCTCAGGACCCATGCGTCCGAATTGTTTCCGCTTTGGGCCTGGAAATAACACGGTGCCTATCGCTTGTTGTCTCGTGTTATTTCAAGAGATACTATGCTATAGGCGCCTGCATCTACATGTGCTAGGTGCATA